ATTTACGACACAGGTTACGTGTTTATGTTATTCCAAGCTTTATAATTAACTGAAACTACTATCCATCCTTATTCGCTGACGGAAGAAGTGCATTGATAAGTTGAAGAAAATATAGAGAACAATCGAGTTACATATTGGATCTTTTCAGGCCACTACTCTTATCCTGAACCACGAATCATGTATCATAACAATTCTCAATACGATCTCTTATTAAGTGAAGCAAATAGGTAAGTAACAGCAGATAGGTCAATAAACTAAGTACTCACCTAGACCTCCAATAAAATGTTTAACTTTTTATGTCACAAAATAATTTGTGTCACTCCAATTAACCGCAATGATTGCTCGGTGCAGACATTGTAGGCGTGAAGATTTCCTCCTAACATTTAATTTTGACGTTAGTTTGACAGAAGTAACGAATTATTTCGATCGACCCGTCACAAACATCCAACGAATAAATTACAAGACGTTAAATTACACGCTGCTCCGGTGCAAATTGAGACAAGTAAAAATTCAATCTTCAAATTGTAATGGATTTTCGTAATAAAGCAACAGTGATCACGAATGTCCTAACGTTAAAGCGTTTGCTATTAAACTTGTTTATTTATTATGTAAGTTGGAAAATAATTCATTTCCTTACATCATTGCTCCTATTCGATGAATTATACCAAACTTTGATGTATTTGAAACACGATTCGGCATTAATCAAATTTTCGCAACTGCTGTTGATATTCACCAGCAATGAGTATAAATATAGATGAACTGTTCGTCCGTCGCCTAATGCAGAACCTTCTGACATTAACTAATTATCTTGTCCCGCAAGAAATATTAGTGCTACATTTAATGCCCTCAGCTTCGTAATTGAACATTTATCACGCTTTTGTTCGAGGCGACATGACAGCTCTAAATTATAGGACTCAAGCTGGTAATCACAAATACATGATCATACCTTTTCAACATAAATAAATTCAAAACTAATTATTTATTCCTATTTGTATTTTAATTTTTCATACAATACCCTTATTACAATTCGAATTATTATCTAAAAGAATCAGTCTTAATATCGTAAAACGGGCCCAAATCAGTATCATTTTCTTAACGAAGAAATCTCGTTGACAGATTTACTTCTTTTGAAATATTGTTGTGGCCTTGTGATCATATTGCTAGTGATCGATTATGTAATGTTGAACCCTGACGAAATATATTTTCTTGCAGACAAGGAATTCAAAGTAATTCATGAAAATGAACTACGTTCTGTGTATTGCATCCCGTAAGTTAGTTTAGGGGCGAAGTTCACTTATAGCTCAAGTCGGTATCGCAGGTTAGACTGTTGAAGGAGCCATGTGGCGCGCTGCTGCCTCTGGCTCTCTCTCGTTTATGCTGGCTGCATCTGCTAGTTCTGCTAGTATTGAAACAAAGGACTATAAGCCAATGAATAATACGCGATCCAATTGACCCCTCACCTACTCACGCCAACTTTTGGAACCCATCTTTAGATATGAATATCTTTGACAACTGTTGGTATATCCGAAGAGAAAAGTGTAACAAAATTTTTGGGAACAAGTGCCGAAGAAAATGTGAACGGACAACTTGAGAGTAATGACGTTTTAAGGCCAAATGAATCTTTAATAACTTTCCAATAGTCTAAACGACTGATCACCCTTAACTAAACATTAGATCTGAGAAATTTACTGAACACTTACTGTATGTTCGATTATGTTCGATCATGTTATGTTCACAGAAATCCTGGTGTCTGAGAAAAAATGAAATTTTAGATCGAAACAAGTCCAATTAATATTTTCTTCAAGAATTGAGTCCATATAACGGGGTCTCCTTGTGAGCGTAAAAATATTCAATTGTCAAGTTGGTCAAACGAAGACTTGAGGCACACGCGTTAACTGACAGTGGACGCGTGCCAAGTAAAACACACGAAGGTTCTCGCTATCATTAGCATAAAGTCCATAAATACAAATAAATATTTTTCGCCACGCCTATTTTGTACAAGTACTAATTTTCTAAAAAATCTCTAGCATTTATGATGGTGAATGTTCCAACAGACCTACATCGTCTATGTACTCTGAATAAATGCACTCAACACAAAATGTTTGAATGAGTAAAATTTAGCGAAAGAGGAAATATTTTCTTATTCAAGCCGTGATAAAAGCGCTCCAGAGTCAGACTCAGAGTTATGAAATTTCTTACTTCTTTAAAATCTTTCCATTTCGCAAGTCATGAAAAGAACTAGAGAGTGCTGGATTCGCCATGCAATCGACGCTGTAGCTAACTGAATGCTTGGCCAATGACATACTAATACTATAATGTGGAAAAAATTAATGTAGTTATATAGTTAAAAACCCATAACAGGGGCCCTTGAATTTTTATGACAACATCCATAAACCACTCACTATATGAGGTGGCAAGGTTCCTAAATAGCTTCATGCTCCAAGTGTATTATTCATAAAAATGCCCGTGGAGAAACTGTCACTTACGATGGCTCGTCAATCTGATACGACAATGTTGGCATCGATACAAAAATAAACAACTTGGCCAAGCAAGACACCTCAGTTTTGTCAGGAGCTGTCAATAGCCGCGTCCTTATATGGAGTGAGCACCCGCGGCCACTTATTATAATAATTGGGGGGCACTCGGACCCTGCTTAGTGACTGCCCGTCAACCGTACTAGAAGGACGTGACTCTCACGCGACAGGTCGCTCCTTCGTCACTCTAGTCCAGAAGACCGAAGTGAGTGGCATTGTGACACTAAGTCTCTTTACTACAAGTTATGTAAAAAATATTCATACATGGTGCTAAACTTATTACGTGACCAGCTAAAATAAGTATTTGATAATACCAATGTTAGGCCATGTATTTTATTAAACATCAAAATCACAGCTTAGATAATCTTTTTACAGTGAGCTGCCCTTATGCATGACATTCGAAAAATAAACCATGTATAAGCGTTAAGAACAAAGCAAAAGTATGTTCATAATGACAAATTGCGTAAGACATAATTAATCGTTGAAATTAACCTATCAAAACATCCAGAATGATACCATCATGACAAGTCCTTACTGTTAATGCTGTTAAATGTTGGTGATTCAAGTTCTAATAACTAAAAATTCACAATAACTTCGATCGCAAATTTGCAACTGAGAACGCCTGAAAGACTATGAGTGGAATTTCATCGTTCTGTTTATCGTTTTCACTGAACTAAATCTTATTGTCTACAAGAGCATTTTGTTTAAGCATCACGCACCTGTAAAGATCAGTCTCAATTTAAATGAGTTTTTGATTTACCTCTGTGGTTTCGGAACAGTGGTTGTCTTTTTGACTTTCTATTCTCTTGACCAACGCGTAGTTTGCTCACGCTCTTGCGCCAACGACATTGAAAACATGAAGAACCCCTCTGCTGGAATAATAGGAAAAATAAAAGCTTTCACGTTGAAATGCAAAGAAAATATTGAAACAAAAACTTTCATTCCGCCTCTTAGGTTCTCATAGAATCTGTTCTTGACTTCTTGTCCCCATTACGATGCCGATAGATGACACATGCTTCGAATACAAACGGTGAACCCCGACTAATGTAAATTTTAATCAGGCCAACGTCGGTTACTTCAAATTAGGACAAGACATTACGTGGTCCATCAGATGAAAATGTTTCCAATTTCTTCAAGTTATATCACTGATATTAAATATTTAATCTCGATATCCTGAACTAAAATTGAAATGCTTTTTAACGGACCGAAATATATATTTCTGGACCTATGATGTGCCTAGTTGCGTTTATAGCAATCAGAATTGAGGCACTTTTTCATACGAATTCAGATTTAATTTTTTTGTTTCGATTTCGTTGCTGCTAGAATTCGCATAAAAAGGATTCGTTATGTGTGAATGAAGTTGTAAATGAGCTTGGTCAATGCCAATGTTTAGTTTTTGTATCATGTAACTTGCTCTCAAATGATGCGACGAGTTGCCACAAAATTTCCTCAGTGTTACTTGATCCTCGCTTCTCACTAATTATCTAAATACTAGCCCGTCATTTAATTTATTCGTGCTGTCTGAATTCTTCAACTAGTATATTTCACTCACAATATTACTAAGGAAGGCTCTTATTACTACAGGTTGAAAGATAACTCAAGATGTGTGACGACGATGCTTCTGCTCTGGTCGTAGACAACGGCTCCGGTCTCTGCAAGGCCGGTTTCGCCGGGGATGACGCTCCGCGAGCTGTGTTCCCCTCCATCGTCGGCCGCCCCCGTCACCAGGGTGTCATGGTCGGCATGGGTCAGAAGGATGCCTACGTCGGTGACGAGGCCCAAGACCGCATGCAGAAGGAAATCACATCCCTCGCTCCCTCCACCATCAAGATCAAGATCATTGCTCCCCCTGAGCGCAAGTACTCCGTATGGATCGGCGGCTCCATCCTGGCCTCCCTCTCCACCTTCCAGTCCATGTGGATCACCAAGGAAGAGTACGACGAGTCTGGCCCAGGCATTGTCCACCGCAAGTGCTTCTAATTGCCTCGACATTTCATAAATTAAATTTAGTTATTACACTGTTGTCTGAGATAGCATTTTCAATATTAAAATATTTTTAATCCTCCAATACTAACAATATTTCAGCCGAAAGTCTTCTGGTACCACTGGCATTTCTACCTCTAAAGTCATCATCGTAACGGTAAAGTAGAGCTTCCTGAGCGAGTACAATCGAGTTGTAGGCATTGATCAAGGATGAACTCAAGCCATAAAGTTATTCATTGATGATGTGAACCATTAGTTTATCAAATAAAGAAGATGAAACGTGACTCCATTTTTTACAGGGTTGTCTAATAATATTAATGGATAATCAACAGGTTCGTCTGAATCAAAATCTGATCAGCAAAAATGAGCCCATGTATTTCAAGTGACAAGCTTTAACGCATCGCGAGTGCAACGGATGGTACGAAGGCCACGCAAATCCATAGCATATATAATCCATAATACTACAGGATAGAAAGGGCACTATTAACAATGGAAGATGTATTTGCAATGATGATCCGTTATAATACAGTTATTCCAAGGGCGACTTCTCTCAGCCAGAGCAATTTCGATGATCGAATATATATCTGTAGGGCTATAAAGAATCATCTAAAATAATACGAAAATCTAGAAATAAATATAAAAGCTTCTCATAAACAATCGTTACACCACATATTAGTAAGTAAATTTTTCAAGCAATTTCCCATGTCAGGACAAGTTGAGCCAACAGCCCAGTGAATCAACGGCACCGCAGTGCAGGAGACTAAAGAATTTGTTAACAATTTAGTTACCAAATGGACAGGTCCAGCAGGTCAGATTAGCACGTCAGTAAACACTGAATAATAAAGACTTAGACTGTAGAATAAAGAATAACACTCAGGCGAATCAAGAAATTAGTTAATTGAAATCCCAACATAATTAACTTATAGCAGCTAATGAATCTAGAGATAAATAATTTTAGATGTCGAATACATCAAATCAGCGAATCGACTTTAAATCATTAATAAGAAGTGCGAACAAACCTTGCGCAATGCACATTTAACGCGAAATATAATTGCATATGAAAATGATCAAACTGATCCCGATGACGACAGTAAATATTTGCTTAGTTTCTGCTTACACCACCCAAGGCAGAAACTTTCACTAACCATCATTATCCGCGTCACAATCGCGGCTGAGAATGATTACAATACAGCCAGCAACATTGCAAAGTTACAATAGCGTTCGGAGGTACATTCAATGTAATGCGTAGTATGATCCCTAGGTGAGGTTGATTAGTTGATACAATGTGTAAAAGTTAAATTCAGTAATCACATTCTCATTGTGAAAAACTATTGATCGTTCAAATATTATTGTCTTCAAAAAGTGCAACATCGCAAATAAAGGCGAAACCTGTGAGTGTTGACCGTAGCCGCGTATGTTTTATGGCAGTATAAGAAAAAGGCCATGAAGCCGTAGAACTCGGTAAAGTAGACGTTTTAGAATACCAAAGCAGCGTATAACTGTTGAAAAGACAGTATTCAATTAAATAACAATATTTGGGGCCAGGAGTTGGAATCACAACCAACTTCGTTTCTACGCACGAAATGCCACAAAGCGCGATAGGTAATTTACATTGGCTGGGTTTAAATAGATACATAACAAGAAATCGTGTCGGTATTGTGCACGTAATATTTGCTGTCCTTTGTGCAGAAAAATCTGTAGACTCGAGCCTCTCAGCATGGGACAAAATTTAATGACACGTCTGACGCCAGGAGCTTCCTTATCGCTACAGTAACAGTATGGCGACCGGTGAACGGTTTTGAATTACAGTAAAATAATAGGTAGCAAACGAAAATCGCTGAAGCAAATAACAGCAGAAAGCTCACACAAAGAATAAAATAAACGAGAGAGACAACAATACTCAAGCGTCTATTGGTAGTAGTTGAGACCATAAATGACTACAGAAGAAACAGGAAAGAATCAAAAAGAGGCATAGTTTAGCAGCGTTGTAGATATCGACGCAACATAAGTCATGTAAATCCATAACAACCAAGAACTCGCTGAATTTACTGACTGGAAAACTGCAAATGAACTATGAACCAGGGAAATGACTGACCACTAGCATCCGCAACATCAATCGCGCCTATAAATTTTGCAATAACTAACATTAATTTATAAATGAAATAATCTAGTCGTTGTGGACCTACAGAATTCTAGAAAATATTACCGTACACCTACCGCGGCACGAGATCGTGCGTGTACCGCTATATCACATGACAGCCCAACACACCAATTTGGCACAGTCACTTAGATAGAACTTCCACCTTAATTAAGCAACTACCAATATCCGTGTACGAGAACAAGAAATTTTAAATCAAAGATTATAACAACCAAGTTTTGAGCTCGTCAGATTTTACTATCCATTGCGTTCCCGAACCAAACGAGCTTTATAATAAGACAGGAATTAAACATGCCTTTGCTGAAAATATTTGCAGCTATGCAAATTACGAGGATTGAACGACACTGGCAAAATATTTGCAATTAAAAAATGAAATCTATATCAGAAGTATTAATTAATATTTTGTAGTTCATTTGCCAATTACTCCAACGATAAATATTTTTAATGGAAGAATCATATTCGTGGAAAGTTCACACATCAATTAGACAGTTTTCTAGATTCTTCTCCGCCTATGGATAGACATTTCATTTACTGGAAGTTAATATCTAGTGAGCGATGTTATCAGTGCTAATAAATCTACCATAATTACCAGGAAATTAGTATTTAAATTAAGCCTCACGTCATCAATTTTTCAGTTAATCACCAAGAGTGAAAGAAACGGCGAATGGATGAAGTTACAACTCGCGGCCATCATAAAGCTCTATATATGGCAAGCCGGCCCATAATTGCATTCAAGTTAAATCGTCTAAATAATTACAAAAATAGCACGTGGAATAAATTAAAAACCTCATTCCGCTTAAAAATTCAAGAAAGGAAGCTACAGGCCTCAAAACTGATGATAATTCACGTCATGCTATTCCAAAGAGGAGAGTTATATTGAAAATTATGTGGCAACATTTTAAAGGATTAACAACCAATTTCATGTTCGTTTCATTCCTCAAAGATGTTAAACTTCGACAGTAAATCAAAAGCAATGGTAAAAGAAATCGATAAATAAAGTCACATAATACGCACTTCGCGAAAAAATACAGACGCTGATCAAAAGAAATATAAATAAGAAGAAATATAGCGAATATCAACCAAGCACACTTATAGAGAAAATGTGATTAAAGTATAAAACAAGGCAAACAAAAGGTGTTGATGTTGAACAGACAATTAACTTATCCCAGGTATAAATGTTATTACAAATCATTTTCCTCTAACATACGAACATATAAAAGAAAACTATCACACTGAAAAGAGTAGCTTAGTACGATAACTCGGTATCAAAACGAATAAGGTGATGACAAAATGTGGAGTTTGACCGCAGGTGTCGCTCGATTAGTAGTTGTTAAGGTACGGGAATGTTGAGATTATGAAGAAATCCTACAGAAACCACAACAAACGACAACAGAATGGTATAGTGACGAAGCAAATATTTGTAAGATTCCATGAAATATAGTGAAGCATTATGGATAGTGATGAACATGTTGCAGCAACTAAAATGACAAATAAGAACCCACAGCGATAACTTTACTTAATCAAAGAACTTTGGATCGTCGTCACTGAATACTTAAACCGACTGAATCATCGATCGAACATGTAAAAATGGCAGTGCAACCACAGCCATCTTCCTGTTGAAAGTCTTGTTTATTCCCTATGTCACATTAAATAAACTTGAGCTACTATGACATAGGGGAATTTGCGCCTTAAGTAACAACTCCAGTCGGACTGGATATGACGGCTATGATAGGTATATACTTCAACAGTTCAAACTAAAGGTGTTCCACATCCCCTGTACAAGTGGTGGTGCTGGTCCACTGCCAATCCTTAATCTTGTTTCTTGATCACCATGGACACTAAGATTCTGGACACCACATTGTCTTTGCAGCACCAAAAGAATGGTGGTGCTGGTCCACTTCCTAGTCTTTTATCTTTTTTCTTAGTGTTCATAGACATCACGGACCATAAGGCAGCAACTTAATGAATGCAGCAATCGGTGGCGGGCACAGAGACAGTTTAATGAATCGTTCCTTATGGTAATAAACAATCACACTAAAATTAGAGCCATTACTTCGAAAGGTTCTTTACTTATTAAAATCACTTTCATAAACAAAGCCCCACTATTGCCACAGAACGGTCGGCAGCAGAAAGTCTTGAACAAAACTCTACAGTGATGGAGAGGAATCTACCGTTGCAAAACAGAATGGGAACAATTATCGAGGTGATATTTGATGTGATTTGTCGCGAAATTTATGCCCGAATCGAACAGCAAGAATAAACATTAGCATTAAATTGGATGCTGATACAAACGTTCTAGTTTGTGCTGCAAGCTCCCAACAAGCCGCGGTCTTATCACAATGAAGATATATTATTATAAATCCCAGCTTCAATTTCAATCAATAAGTTAACCAATTAAATTCTACCGCCGACCGCACTAGACAACAGTGCAAGATACGGCCCCGTTGTTCTTATCTCACAAGAGCACCAACAATAACTGCTAACAACAATCAACTCGCACGAGGATGAATTCAAGACGACCGACTTGGATTTCTTCAAACTAGCCATTCATAATGAAACAGTATGGTCGTTCAAACACGGCCACAGACACAACAATGCTTTCTTTCCTCAGCAACAGACACGGCGGTGCCTTCTCGCTCTAACATCAGACACGAGGTTGCCCTCTCCCCCAGCAACAGACACGAGGTTGCCTTCTCATCCAGTAACAGATGGAGCGCACAAAATGCAGATTCGTAGTAACAAACAGAAATTTCAAGCAAGAATCTCTTTAACTTGGTATTATCTGCGAAAACTTTGTTATTTGATGATTAAAGTTACACTGCCGGAAAAAAATCTTCAGCTTGTGAATTCAAGTAAAATGCACCAACACTTGGGGCTTCATTGTTTTGAGTAACACTGTTACTGTTACTCAAAAAATGTTTACTGCAAAGAATATTGTAAGCGAAATGTTCATGCTAGGTGTGAATAATTTGTCAACTCGTAATTTACCATTACAATGAGTAGTTACTGCAAAAAGCGCAAAAATATGAAATGATGAAGGCCGGTAATAAATAGGGCAATATGAGATCAGTAATGCATTTCAATTCGAGGAATCCTCAATCAATTTCCATCACCGACAGAATAATTCTCAAGCAAGAACAACAGCGATCATTAACTGCATCGTATCACTGATACAAACAAAGCAGGAAAAAATAGTACGGTAGCATTAAAGTGGACAATAGAACCAATATTCAAATCCAATAAACATAGTAAAGTCGAAAACTGCCTCATATGAGTTGAAAATTATTTCATGAGAAGCAGCACCATCATTAGACAGAGACGGGAGTTGAAAAGGAGCCAAGTGAGCGATAAAGCAAAGGAGTGTTCAAGTCATGGTCCCGAATACGGGGTTGTGACGACAGATGCTGGGGCCCCTCTCCTCATACTCGGCCTTGGTGTGGCAAACTTGGTAAAAGTGTGGGGTGGAGGCTAGCATGGAGCCGCCGAACCACACTGCGTAGCGTTGCATCTTGTGAGCTACCACGTTCACGTCGATGGGCTTAGGCTGTAAAGTAAAATGAAAAATTAGACTCATTCTCTGTGCGTGATTCGAAATAACACTGGATTTCAAACCCTTTAACGATTCTAGATTGTAACGATTGTAGATGACAGTAGAAACTTTCAAGATTTTCCGTGATTCAAATCACAGATGGAACTGACAGGATATAAAACACGGAAACATGATATAATTCAAGATCTATGCTAATTTGCAAACTCCTGGGAGGGAGAGAACAGTAATAGCGTAGACTAGAGCATAGAATTATGTTAGAAGACTAAAAAGACTTGTACGGAACTCTAATTAAATTTAAATTTCAGAATATAGTTAATTGATCAATTGCCCTGCACATAAACGAGCAATTCAGACCGTAAATACAGCTTGACTAATTATCATCGTGATGCTATCTCACTTCCGTTGTAAGCAACCTGAAAACAGAAACAGCCAACAACATTCTAACCTATGTTTCTAACTGAAGAAGGAAATTCATATGAAAAAAAAAAATTAAATTGCAACTTATAATGATTCTAAGCACCTCACGACACTAACTCACTACTACTAGAAGTGCCTTGTAAAGACATCACCTCACTGAGACTCGTGGCGTCTCACTACGTCTCACAAAGACTATCATACCTTTATCCGGCCACCACTAAGTTGCTCAGTTATCCTGAGTCTCGCATCAACTATCCTCTTGACGTCGCGCTGCATGCGTCTATCAAAGTCCTTGAACATCGTCGAGCCTCCTGACAGGACAATGTTTTTGTACAACGGCCGCCGTACGTCTATAGGACAGTTCTGAATGACGTTGTCCACAACCTCGCTAATGGGCACCGTGAAGTCGGGGTTGGCAAACTGAAATCAAGAACGTGAAAGTAAGATACAAATTCAAATTTCGATGGAATGATTATTTTTAAAGCCACACGTCGTCTAATGCATTGAGTAATATGCTATCAAAATATAGCATCTGGAGAACTTTGCCGGCTAAAAAGGAACTAAACTGGTGGAGCTTCGTGGCTTTAACATAAGCCAAAGAGAAAAAGATGAGAGTATTTAGCAGCAAAAATTTCACCGATATTAGTTTAATGAGTCGATGAAATAAAATACCAATCGGAGGTAAATGAAAGATGGCCATAAGGCACACTGAAATTGACACATCCAGCACAAAGAGAAGCCAGAAAAAACAAGCGCAAAAAAATATATATAACTTCTACAAAGTCATCACTGGAGGAAAAAGGGCAAAAAAAATTCTGTTGTAGCAAAAGTTTCAGATAAGATTATTGAAACCTGCCACGATTTTTCTTCAACTACTAGTAAGAAAAATTTGGCTTTAAAAAATCAAGAATACAACTCACCCTGCTCTATACTAAGTGATTCGAGTAAGATTATTCCTTTACCTCAGGATGAAAGAAAATTTCAGGTCCAAGGAACCTCTCATATCCTATGTCGATCTCAAACTTGGTGTTGTTGACAGGGTTAAGCCCCTCGTAGCGCTTGATCCACTTGCTGGGGTCACTGTCGTATTTGTTAAACTCTTTGGCAATATCAGGACAGATGTAACTGTACCGCTCTGTAAAAAATTTGTAACGACATCAACAATCTGAAACAATTTTTTATTTTCCATATAAATTTTGACAATATCAGAGAACATTCACTCCGATCTAAGTAAGTTATGAACATGATAATACTGAATATAATTTTATGAACCAGATAATAAACCAAATTCTAACCTTTGACTGCCTTAGCAGTCTCCATGCTGAGCTGTGGAGGTATGCTGGACTCGCGCTCTCGTAGCAGCGACTGCACGAAGTATGTGATGTCTCGCCCCGCTATCGGAATGTGCTTGATGCACGACCCGATCACATACCCATCCGCCTACACAGCCAACAACAACGCAAACATTAACCCCATAGAAATATTCAAAATAATCCTTAAAGCACGAATTCGTCTGTATAAACAGCTAATGCATCTGTTATTTTACAAAAAATATTCATATTATTCAGAACGTATGAAATTGTGTGATTTTCTGAATTGATTTGGCATTAAATAACAGTATTAAGACAAAATTAAGTCAGATATATTCTTGGACATAAAACATAAACATAAGTCTGACTGTGAATTATTTTTGAGACGTAAATATTCATCAAGTGAATTATGTTAATCTTTAAAAATCTATAGAAAAGAAACAAATAACCTTTTCAATAAATAATTATTCTCTGTAGCATCTCATCTGCAACATTTAAATACAAGTAATACACAAATATAGTTTCTCATAGGTGAAATTTTCTATTACCTATAGTTTTCACTGCTGCGTGTTCTAAAGTGCGTGTGCGTGTTCTAAATTTTCTATTATAGTTTTCACTGCTGCGTGTTCTAAACTACACACAGCTATGAACTACAGTGAAGTTTTCAATGCAGAAAACCTTCACCCACTCCTGCCTGAGATGCTCAACTCACCACAGGGATGACGTGGGTGACTCCATCACCAGAGTCAACAACACAGCCAGTTAAGGATCGCTCGGTGACCTGCCGAGACGCCCAGGACGCGGCCAGAGACAGCACCGCTTGTACAGCAATGTACAGGCCAGGCACATTGAACGACTCAAACATTATCTCTGAAAAATACACAAATTATGAAGCAAAACATCTACTTTAGAATTATTGTAAAGTGATAAATGAATTAATTGGACATCCTGTTTACGAATACACAATTCCTGAATAGCCGAATAATATATATCAGTGGGTTTGATACTTTCCTAACATTGATTGGCAAGTTAAGGAAAATTGCCTAAATTTATAAAAGAATAAATCATAAAGGCATGCATCAAAGCTATTGCTTCATGTGAGAATCTATCTTGAATGAAAACATGAGAGAATGAAGCTGAACGTTTCCAACAATTTAGAGTGAGAAGGATCAGTTGAAAACATCTATCCTGAGCTCTAGTCTCAGATTTACATACATTAATTAGAAGTAAATTGTGTTGTTCTACCTACCAATGTAGGATATATCCAAGATATATGTGCAGGCCTCATTTTTGATACAGGAAGATAACTAATTGAACTAAGAAAACCAAGTTATTTCTGAACAATATCAAGTAATCCAAGATTTAGAAGACCAGAAAAAATTGTATTGACCCATGAATCAAAGTTCTCAATGATGACAGCAGTACACGAGCCTACCTGCAGTGTACTCTCTATTCTCGGGTGTGTTCAGGGGAGGTTCAGTCAAGAGGAAATAATGATCTTCAGGCTCTGCTCTCAGGTACTTGAAGATACATTGCTCCAAAAATTTCTCCATCAGGTCCCAGTCTTCCACAATGCCGTGACGCACAGGGTACTGAAAAAAAAGTAGAATAGTTTTAAAGTCTATGTAATTTATGAGGTTTTGTGTGATTGATACCAGGGACTTGTGTCTAAATGCCCTCGAGTGCAATTTTAGCACAAGTACTTAATAAAATGAACTAAAAACACAGCAGAGAAGTGAACACATCTTCTTATGTTTTTTAACACTCAACACAAGATACAGAAATTACCTATTTTCTAAAATAGGTTTATACACACACAAAGCACTTTCTCACTCTTTATATATGTCAAACCTCTCTCAAATTTGTCTTAACAGCATTATAAAAATATATGACTGAATTTAAATAATGAAAAAAATAGAAAATAATTTTTAGCTTCCAATGAAAAGATGTAGGAGACAATTTATCCTCAAAATCAAGCCTCAATTTTCTTCAGAACAGAATTCAGTGGAAATGAGAGGTACAGCTCCATCCAGTTGCTCACTATTGCCTGTCATTTCTAAGAAAAAATCCCTTTAATAGCTTCTTTTACTAGACCTTTTGTTTCAACAAGTAATGATTCACACAAAATATACATAAATACCTTTTATTCAGATATCATACATTGGCATATTCCTACACTCTGGACTGCAATATTTCTCTGTCATTTCTACACTCTGGAGACTGCAATGCCACAAGCTGCAATATTTTGAAGTTTTTTGATATAAACTCACCTTCACTGCATATCCTGTGGCTTCCATAGCTTCATCCCCAATAAAGAAATCAAGATCTTCAACTCCTTTGCAGAGACGTCGCATTGACTGATCCCCAACTTTGGCAGTTTCTTTGATGGCCACGGCCGAGGGCATGATAATCTGAGGTTCATTGTTGCCAGCAAAGCCAAGCTTTGTGTACCTGAAACAAATTTTTATTAGATTTCATAATGAAAAATGAAAACCAGATACTTTAATTAAACTGAAGTTTAGAAGTTTAGAATAAACCCAGAAAATGAAAAAAGTCCTTTGTTTTCTGATCTCATTCTGCAGTTGTCAAAAAAGGCATGTCTAATGCAGCAAACCACATTTATTTGTGTGATTAGTTGTGCATGAGGCAGTTTCTAACATGTAAAAAATGAGCATTTTTTCACAATCCATAAAGATTTCTTCAAGTGAAAAATCTTATAACTGTAATTATACAATATTATTGGTGTTAAAGTGGGAAACAATAAATCATGTGGCTCATAATGGTACCCTCAATACATACACATAAAAGGCAATGGGAAAGCTGGACATACAGACTGATACAGTAGAAAGAAATTTTTTGCCCTTTACTTCTTATTGAACTCATTTCAGTTATTTGCCTTTCCTGATGACCTAAACAAGTGAAACTTCCAGTTTATGTCCCAAAACATCATCTTCTACTTTTATTTACAAGCTACTGCTCCTAGAGAGGCATATCAATAGATTTATATAGCAGATAACTCATGGTGGCAAACAAGATACTTGTTGAATCTTGAATTGCTATGCAGGATCTACCCGACCTCAACATTATAACATTGCACAGTATAACAACATAACACATCATAACATAGCACAGTATAACAACATAACATAACACATCACATTATAATGCAACATAATATATTGTATTATATTATGTTCTGTTGTCCTGTGTTCTAGTGTGTTTTAATTTTTTATGTTATGATGTATTCTATTATATTAGGTTGTGTTATAATGTGATCTGATATAGTATCATGTGTTATGTTATGTTGTGTTACAATGTGTTGTATCATGTTTGATTGTGTTATAATTTTTGATGCTATATTATGATGTGCTATAATGTGCTGGGTTGAGTTATGATGTCTGATAATGGGTTTTATTAGGATATGTTGCGGTATAATTTGTTTTGTTGTTCTATGTTATGTTAAGATGTATAGTGTTATATCATGATTAGTTATGTTATAATGTATTGTGTCATGTCATTACAATGTTTCATGCTATGTTATTTATGTTATGTTGTGTTACAGTGCATTGAGTTAGGTAATGTTGTTACATTATGTTGTGTTGTAATATGTAAAACTGCTATGATATTGTTTGTTATAATATGTTATGTTATTATGTAATGTCATGTTAGGGTGTGTTATAATGTGTTGTATAGTGATATGTTGTGATGAGTGCAGTGCTGTTGTGCAGTGATATTTTGTGTTATTCGCTTGTGTCGATCATTAAGCATCGGCCACTTTGATCGCAGAGAGCGCTCATCAGTGTTGATCATTGGGCATCAGCTAAACCGACCGTAAATTGCGTGCGCTTGTGTCGTTCATTAGGCAACGGCCACTTCGATCGCAGAGAGCGCGCTTCTGTGTTGATCATTGGGCATCGGCTAAACCGATCGTAAATCGCATGTGATGGTGTCGATCATTAGGCATCTCCCACTTTGATCGCAAAGAGCGCGCATCAGTATTGATCATTGGGCATCGGCTATATAGATCGTAAAGCACGTGTGTTTGTGATGATTGCCGGGCATCAATCGTAAAGTATGTGTGCCTGTGTCGATCATGCAGCATTGGCGAGGGTTACACTTCCGTTTTTAGCAAGCATATTGGCAACTTTCTTCCCTGGCGTACTGGCGTACATCCGAAAATGAACCTCCGGCGTACACGCTGCACCTTCCTGACCATGGTTCACAACGAGTTAAACTCTTTTGCTTTGATCTGACTCCAAAAGATCTTGATATAATAATTAGTCAGTTGTCAATGATACAAAACTGATTTACACTGATTATTTACTTTATTTCACTGAAAACTTTAAGCTCCTCAAGAGTTGATCATCAAATTTATTTTGTCACTTGCAACGTTGAAATTTTGCCATCAAGAAAATTGATTTCATGATAAACTACAGGCGAGAGCTACGGTAAACTACTGAGACGGTTCTTACGGTAAACTACTGAGAGCTACGGGCGGTAAACAGGCTACAAAACGCGCTACACTAAAAAATGTAGAACTCACAAATAAATATTGGGCTACCAAAATATCTAACATAATTTCAGTCCCACCAACTCCAAAATACAATGACATCAAATCTCACAATATTTTTATGTGGAATTTCTTCAGCCCTATAGGTAAACCAATTTTAAAGTAGAAAATTGGGCAAAAACCATCCATGTATTGGACAATAATGCCCCTGAATCTAGGTTAGGTTAGGTTAGGTTAGGTTCTCTAGCCAATTTCACTTATTCATTGAGCCTTTTCCAATTTCTTCAGTGAAAAATAAAGAAAATTAGAAACTGCCTAATTTCATCTGCAGTTTTTTGAAAATGACTCCTGGAATAATCATTTTGACCTGCATTTTCAGAAAGCTTCAGCCCATGATTCAAAATAGTAAGTGAGGAACCAATATATAAGTAAGTATCCTGGACATCATTTACATGCACAAGATTTTCAATTAAATCCTCAAGTAGTAGGCTAGATCAGAAAATAAGGATGAGCTAGACAGCTAGTTTCTATAATAATCTAATTTGCCACTGTGCCACAAGCCCACAAAGACCAGAGCTTTCAGCTTTCCTCCCATTTTATGGAGGAAATTGGAGCTGTAGTGCAAGATTCTTGTCAACTGATTGAACTAGGTAGTGTCAAGCCAAGAAAATTAAGGAGCAGCCAATCCAGATAAGGAATAGAATCATGAGTCATCATAGCTAACAAATTGATCTAAAATATCATTACTGTACATCAGCAGGTTCCAACAAAAAATTAAAAGCATCAGTAGAAGTAGAAGAAAAACTCCTGCAATAATGTATATCATTAGAAACTATACCTGCGATAAGATTAGCCTATTTTGGTGCAGATTCAGATTGTGTTTAAACTTACCCAGTGCCGACATCGACAATGCAGGGCGGCAACCGATTGGACATTTTGTAATAATATAATTTCTCTAGAACTTAAAACACTAAATGGCAGATTTATCTTTATTAACCCTTCCCTAGGAACTTAAATTAACTGCAAATTTCATTATCAGGGGTGTGTAAACACTTCCGCCAGACTACTCAGTGTTGCCGTTATCAGGTACCGGTTCGTTGTAATGCATAGGGAAAACCTCTGTGACTGCCCTAAACGTCAAGATTTGCATGAGAAAAATCACATATGTCATATATCTTTGCAACTGTCATATATGTAAGAGGAGAAATCCTGTTTCGAATCCAAACTATATGTCCAAATTCTTCTAAGTTTTTATACATGAGTTAACTCAAACAACACGCAGGAGCACAATTGACATTCGGCCATGAATGCGTGAAAAATCTGAATTTTTCGTCATTCATCAAAGAATTTCATTATGCTCTCTCGACCAGCCAGCCAAGAAAGGCAAATCAACGCGCGCTTCAAAAAATATTATATCTCTGGATACTCGTTGTAGTTATTTACTGAATTGAAAGTTCTTCCGATGTAAATATGGCTCAACATTTTCAAAATCGATCTCCTCATTCAGTTTTAAAAATTGAATTTGCATTCGCCACTATAAGCTGTGCACCAAGTCGATCGATGGAGAACGTTTATGAGCAAGCGTTCATGCTAAAGTCAGTTATAATCCGGTGTTTGCATGCAGTTTGACAGGCCACAAAATCGAGTCATGACCATTCTTTTACCTCCTAATCTGCGTTTAACGTCACCCAGCCAACTCTAATTCAGAAATTCACGAATAAATCTTTTACCGGTCAGAGTGCGAATCGAACTGCAAACTATTGATATCGCGGTGTTGAAAGGGGTAGTACGTGATTCCCATTTGTAGCCACTGATAATAATGGACATTGTACGTTTGACGGCGAAGCAAACGTTAATCATTTCCCAGTCCACCGTCGGCACTAAAAATACATTCCGAGCTTCAAAATTCCTTCATGCAGTTCGATTCGCACTCTGACCGGTAAAAGATTTATTCGTGAATTTCTGAATTAGAGTTGGCTGGGTGACGTTAAACGCAGATTAGGAGGTAAAAGAATGGTCATGACTCGATTTTGTGGCCTGTCAAACTGCATGCAAACACCGGATTATAACTGACTTTAGCATGAACGCTTGCTCATAAACGTTCTCCATCGATCGACTTGGTGCACAGCTTATAGTGGCGAATGCAAATTCAATTTTTAAAACTGAATGAGGAGATCGATTTTGAAAATGTTGAGCCATATTTACATCGGAAGAACTTTCAATTCAGTAAATAACTACAACGAGTATCCAGAGATATAATATTTTTTGAAGCGCGCGTTGATTTGCCTTTCTTGGCTGGCTGGTCGAGAGAGCATAATGAAATTCTTTGATGAATGACGAAAAATTCAGATTTTTCACGCATTCATGGCCGAATGTCAATTGTGCTCACCGATTCGACACTTTACCAACTTCTGACTAAAAATGTCGAGAATGGTTAAGATTTCGTATTTAACATTCCTTACATCACTCCAGAATAATAAGAGCCATTTTATGCAATTAATACTTCCTAATAGTTGTATTTTTCATACCAGTTCCCTAATTAATGTAGTGTTAGTATGAGATGACGAGAGTATCACTTATCAGGCTTGTATTTTACGTGACAGATAAACTGATGTAAATATTTAACACATATGCTCCAAAATAGACTAATTTCTATGGAACTTGTGATTATAAATTCTATAACGACAAACATTTAAAATGATAGTCCGTGATTACTAGATATATTGAAAATAATCTTTTCAGATTGCATTGAGAATTGTTATAAAATTATTATCATATATTGAAGGAAATTAGCAACTTTAACATAAGAAGAAGAAATGCACTAACAAAACATTAACTTTATGACTGGATTTGTGTAGTCTATTTTGAAATTCGAGGGGCCCATTCACGTTTTAATTGTGGCAACATTTTCCGAGTCTGTAGTCTTCAGTCTGTTCTTGTTTTTCTTAACTTAGGCACCATGGTGGGTTATGTTACGTGGTTTGTGGAAAATATTCATGAAATTGTAAACTCTAGATGAAAGAAATTTTATGATGCTTGCATTGGAAGTTCTTTTTTTTACTTCTGTACGTATGTTCTATTTCAGGGTAAGGACCTGGTTCACAAACATGACAGGAAGGCCAGGCGTAAGGCCCCGAAATCGCAAGATATTTATCTGCGTTTGCTTGTGAAGGTATGTCTCAATTGGTTAACGATAAATTTTCTTGTCATTTATTGTATTCATATTTCAAGTTATGATTTACTTATTAGTGTATATCTAGGGTCTCTGCTGCATGAGTGTGTTCAGCAATTTTTCTTAGTGTGAGAACCGCAGCTGAGAATATTTTAACGGTTTAACCTGCAAGGTGCTGCCGGCCCCTGCTAGGCTGCTGGTTAGTGGTTAGTTTTATGAACGCTTTATGGGTATTATTGCAGATTAACTACATCCAAAAAAAAAGGGNTGCATTAGCAGTTATGTACTAGTTTTTTAACTTTCTGTATTGAAAATTTTCCCATGTAAGTTGTAATTGGATGTTGAATGTACCTACTAGGTAGGTAGGCTACTACAATAACTACAGTTTAATTTTATTATACATAGTGGCAAACATAGTGACAAACCAGAGATTTTTTAGAATCAGTTCATTTTTAATTTCCTTATTTACTCAAGATTTACACTGATTTCTTATGTTTTATAATGCTGGTATGAGGTATCCATGATACTTTGCTTGTCTACTTATAGGACTCAAAAATGAACTTGAGGGAGAGTCTAAAAAACTCTGCTTTGCCACTATGGTGGCAAAGCAGAGAGTTTTTTAGACTAAAAACTAAATTATTTAGACTAGCCTAAATTTATGATAGGACCTATATTTTCAAACTTTTCCTAGCCACTTGCCGTTGCCAGTGAAGTTGCCACTGCCAGCCTATAATGCCAGGCTGCCAATTTGCAATATTGTGCAGAAGGTTCCTAAAGTCTGAATAAAAAAATTTCACAGGCAAGTTAAAAAAATATGTAAAAATAGGATGCTCTTCTTATTTTTTAGGGAAAAATTGGATAATAGCAATTGGTATGGCTATAACAAGTGAAATTGACAATTCACATGCATTTTTTATAAGTTTATATGTATTTAAAACATGGAAGTGAATAAAAACTCAATTTACTTGAATCAAATTTCTCCTTTCATTGTCATAATTTTAAAGCCTAGAGACGTATACAATAATATACATAGACCATTTTACTAGATTATATCTGCCTTCTGCCATAGCCATTCCCTCGAATAATGTTCACATTGCAGTTGCCTCCTTTAACGCAGTTGCGGAAGGGGCTGCTCCGCTGCTGGCGCTGCAATATTCCTTACAGCAAAGTTTTGCTGCTGAAATGCATTTGAGCTGAGCATCATATGCTTTTTAATAAGAGTGTTTATTCCTACATTTTAAACTTCCAATATCAGAGATAAATATCACAAGTGAGCAAATTTAGTATAAAAATTGTTCTTTTTTATAGCATTAGCTAGAGTGAAACCAATTGCTTAAAAAATTAACTTAAATTAACAATTAATAATTAACGTGTTAATATGGGCAATATAGACTTGCAGTTCAAACTTTTGTGTTCACGTCACATTTGTTTCCAAAGCATGAATGCCCCTCTCAGCTCCCAGCACTGCACTGCAAGCATGTTGAACCTCTCCCTTTAGGGCTGCGACTAGAGCTTTCCCGCCATTTCCGGAACTACCAGATTCCTGCCAGATGAATTACCTCCTATCTAATTGTTAAAAGTGCATAATTGGGCCATATCTTTCCAAATGTATTAAAAATTCGTCACGCGGGAGCCGCATGATTTTGAAAACAAATAGGAAAATTCCAATCCTGCTGCACTGTCTGTAGTTAGATGCCTGCTCTGCTCCCATTTTGACATTTAGCCAATATTTTTGATAGCAACTTTACTTCACTCTTTAATTGTTATGCACATTTTGTCACTGCAATAATTTGTGGAATTCAATTTTATCCACATCCTATTATTCCACATATCCTACGGAATTGGTAGAAATTTCTTACCGTTGCCTCAAGTGGTGGACTAGGTTGCAAGAGTACTACTAACTACTCTGTGTGTAATTGTATTTTTATTACATGGGGCTTGGGAGAAGTTTCAAGTTATCCTTATAAGGCAGGATTGGAATTTTCCTACTTTTTTTAAATCATGCAGTTCCAATGTGATGAATTTTTAATACATTTGGAATCTTGTGGCCCGATCATGCCCTTTTTTAACAATTGGATAGGAGGTACTTCAGCTGGCAAAATCTCGCAGTTCCGGAAATGGCGGAAAACCTCTAGTTGCGGCCCTAAAGGTATAAGGTACAGACTTGGAATTGCAAGCCTTCCTTTATAATATAATGTATTCCCCCCTTAAGGCTAGTAGTCAGAGTGCAGCAAAGTCTGAGAGTGAGGTTTGTGCAACCATCTTGTGAAATCCTTGATTTGCCCAAAGCTTGGCCAGTTGCTACCCTGAGCTTGTACTCATTGTTATAAGATATCCTTGCCAGCACCTCTCTTGCAGCAACTGGTCGCTTTCAGGAATGGAATGGCCAGCTGTCGGCTATAACAAATTGGACTAGGCCAACAACTGGCCACGTATTATTCCTGGCCCCTCGTTGAGGTCGCCTTTCCCATGCCACCCGTCATGAACTAACAGCTCAGTAATTTACAATGTCTCTTTCCCCTCATACCTTCCATAATGCCATTCATTTGAGCAGTTACTATGCAGGATTTTCCCTCCACGTATCGGCATGCTTTATTTTTTGGTTGATAATATCGACAAGGAGCCTGATCGAGAAATGTTGAGTGTACCATTTAATGGAGAATTAAAATTACAACCCTTTGTCATCTCAACAAAGTGTAAAAGTTGCAGACTTGATGAACTATAATATTCCAAATTTTTAAAATTTCCTTTCATTATAACTTTTAAAACGTTGACTGCGTATTGGTACATATGCGTACCACAAAATGTATTTCTCCAGGAGGTAGTGGTACATAATTCAGGTTGCCTAAAATCGGCCAAATCCGGGAACAAAAAAGGCCGATAATTCAATGTATACTAGTTTATTTGTAGGTT